GTAAGTTTATTGCCTTTTTCCTCTTCTAGTTGTTACAATATAAATAGTCAATTGGTTTACATATATATATATTTTTTTTGGTTAGTGAAAATTACTGATGATGAAATACTTGGTCGAACATTGGCTATTGCCACTGAACTTTTACAATCAGTTCGAATAATTCTTAGCTTGCAACATAATTTTGTGAATATTATATTACCTAAAATATTTCTTTTAATGCATGGTTCACCAAAAGCTTTTGAACCTTTTGCCGAAATATTACGTAATCTATCTACAGATACGTTCAATTATTGGGGAATGAAGCATCCAGAATCTCATTATGCAGTGAATTCTATGGTAATTGATCAATACGTCTTTTACAAGTATATTCTTAATGTATTAAATTTCTAATCACTATATTTAAATGTAGAATGAAACATTTAAACGACTTGGTGAATTTGCATATAGAGAAGGGATTTCGCAAGCTGTTCACTTGTTAATTATCGAGTTCGATGAACTATTCAATGGCTTGAGAGATACGTTGCTAAAAGTTCAAGTAAGCTTGACTTTAATTTTAGTTAAAAGGCATATGTGTAACAATTAGAATCAGATTAAGTCTTAAATTAATTTTGAACTAGATTCTTCTTAAAGAGCTTAAAGAACACAGTCTACCTAAAGATGGTCAAGAGAGTTTAATTGAAGACTGCCTTATTGATAATTATACTGTTCATAAACTTAATGTGAGTTCGAATTTGAGTTTATTATTAATCTCGTGTTTATATTTACATTGATTTCGTCTATTCAGGTTATAGTTTGTGTCTTACTGGCATGTGAAGATTATTATAAAGAAAATTCCCAACCCCATCTAAGCACTGTCTGGGTGTCATCAATGGTTACGGCTGACGCTTTTAAGAATGGTTCTGACTCACTCACTAGACTTTGGCAAGTCTCACGTTGGTGGATTTCGGAACTTTTCATTCCATGTGTAAAAACTCTATACACAATCGCAATCGACCATATAGGCTCTTTAGTCAGAACCGGCAATGAAGACATAAGCCTAACACTTGATAATTCACCTATAAATAATTCACCTATAAATAATCTTATTTCACAAGGACTGGTATCTAATGATGATATCAGCGCTCAAAAACTTAAAATCAAACAGTATTCTTTCCACGGCTGCAAAGTGAATTTTATCACGATGGTAAGATGTTTTTTAGAATGCTTTTGCAAGTTTTATTTTTATCTCATTTATTATTTTTGCAATTTTGCAAGATAAATCTACGAAAAACTCAAATAGAAATAGAACTACAACACCGCCAAATGGAACTAATGCGCTTTGAATGGATTAACGAAGCATTGATAGGTGACAACAGTTTAATCCGACAACAAGTAATGATTTGTTTTTTGTAAATCTATATTAATGCCTTAATAGCTGGTATGGCGTTATATCGAAAATCGGTACTTTTAAAAATGGGTATTTGATTTAAAAATAACTCTCATGGTGCCTGAAATAATGTGCACTTCATATAATATATTAATGGATTATATATTATAGGCTCAGAAATGAGCCTTTTTTTCTCGAAATAACGCTCATAAACGTACTCGAAATAGCTCGCAAGCGCCCGCTATTTCGAGTTATTACGGTATATATGCTTATATTCATAAATCTGATCTTAATTTTGCTTTTAAATTTAAGTTCCTACAAAACTTGACCCAAGACGTGAATCGATTTGTTTTGCTAGAAAATCTTTTACAAGAATTAGTCTCGCAATATAGGGTTATTAACGCAGAAATTGCAGATTTCATTGCCACTCAGATTGTTAATGAAAATACAGGAGAACTATTACGTTCATTCGGTGATGCAGTAGCAAATCAGCAAATGATTTTTGCTCAAGAATTTGAAAGGGTAAAGTACTCAATATTCCAGGTTTTTTTTTTTTCATACAGAACAAAGTTCTAAACGAAGAAATCTAACTTATATAGATGAAACATGTCGTTAGCTTATGTAATTCAATATTGCATTTGGAAACCTTCCGCACAGTAACAGACAAAACTGTAGCAATGGATGCAGATACGCTTCAACTAGTTAAAAGACTCGAGTCAGCGGTACAAGGGTAAGTGTACTATTACAAACGTTATCATAATTTGAGCTAATCAAACCATTTTTGAATTCTTAGAAACTCCAAGTTGAGCACTGTTAGTTCACAATTAGATATCACGCAGCAACTATCAACATTAAAGGTAAATGATGTTTACTTTAAAATAAGACATCTAATTACATGCTTTTGTTCACTAACATAATTATTAAACTCTAGATTGATGAATCTCTTGATATGGATTTACTCAGAAACCTTGAAAACATTGCCAAAGATCTTCGAACCGTAGTAGAAGAAGTTCGTAATTTAATTGGCGAATTATTTCCTCTTGTCGAACCTATAGCAAATTTTGAAATAGATACAACAGATGACAGTGGCAAAGATGCACGTTTAAAAGCGAAGGTAACTTACGGTTTAGATTTTTTATTGCTAATATGCAAGATAAGATTAAATTAATTTGAACTTAGGAATTTGTGCGCGAATGGTCCAAATTCGACTCGGATTTTGATACAGCTATTAGTGGTGCTCTTGCAGTTGTTGATCGGCGATTCCATCAAAAAAATAATTTTTCAGAGTCGGATTACACAGTAATGGTTGAAAACCTTCGTCGTGACAATGTAAATTACCATTTCTTAGTTTCAGTGCTCTGATATACTTGTCCCAAATCTAATAATATCATCATATTTTATTGGTTATTAGGAACGAGCTATATCATATCTAACTGAAACTATTATCAGGATTTTTGAAAATCTATTTACTTTAGGCGAAGTATCTGGAACTATTACTCAAAACGGATCATCTCAGAAAATATCCCCTGAAAACTTTGAGAGTAAGAATTCTAATACTTGTGATTTTGCTCAAGCAAACACCGGAACGGAAGATATTTCAAAAAATACTATCGCTGGGCAGGCTTTATTACCAAGTAACGAAGAGACTATGGAAAGCTGGGATGTTCCTATGCAACAAGGTATGACTTTTAGAAACAAAATAAATTTTATTTAATGAGTGCTTCATAATTGTAATTGCAATTTATTCATTATACGCATCAGCTCAAACACGAAACGCCTTTGCAGTTGGAATAATCCGACGGATCAAGGCGAAGTTGGAGGGAAAAGATTTTGAATCTACGACCAAAATGACCGTTCAGGAACAGATTGATAAAATTATTCAACAATCACTTGACATAGACAATTTATGTGTGATGTATGAAGGATGGACGCCTTGGATTTAATAAAAAAAAAAATTTTTAGAAAAATAAATTATAAAATAATATTAAATTGTTAATTAATCCGAGTAAAATAAATTTGATTTTTTAATATTGTATTCCAGACAAATTTGTCTGGAAAATTAATGATTTTATAATTTTAAATAGATCTAAAAAAAATATTAATGAGATATACTTTAGGCCATACAAAGTTAATTTTTTGGTTCTCATAACATAAAATTTGAAAAATGACCCGGCAACTCGGCTTTTAATTTTATTTTCAAAAAATTTTTATATATAAAAAGCATATAAAAATTTTTATAAACTTCTAAAAAAACTTCACCCGAATAGTAAATATAGTCAAAAATTTTTTTAAGAATTTTGCGAAATTTGACCCGGCCGGGTTATGAGAACCAATTTAGTTTGTATGGCCTTATATATATATATATTTAAATTTTTAACAAATTACAAAGTCGCAATAATAAACATTGCTATCTTTATATAATCTATAATATTCTACGCAGTATATAACAACCAATTATTTATTAATTGTTTTTTATGGGGGGTTTGCGTGTTATTTTTCAAAACTTAATTTTAAACCCGACCGTCAATTAGTACTTATCTAACTTGGTATTAAACCCAGATCTCCCACTGAATTTACGTTACGAATAACATTGTTTTACCTATGTAAAATTCATCTCCAGGGTTAGCAATGATTTGGATTATTGGATCTGATTTCCAATGACCTATTTAAATCGGTGAGTGATTCTTTAATTCTATCTGCCTAAATCTTGATATGTTGTTACATGAATATTCAATGTCTAGTATTGTGCGGATTAATATCTAAAATCTTACGAGAATAACTAAAACATGTATACTTAATTTTGATAGTGATGCTAGGGTTTTAGAGAAAGGAAGATTGTAAATTTAATCACATTACTTGTTATGTAATATAAAATAGCTAATATTTAAATTGAAACTTCAAATTTAAGAATTCTTTAAAATGTTGTTTTATTACTAGTAAAATGACAAAATATATACTATTAAAATGACAAAACATATACTATTAAAAAAACATTCTAAGATTAATCCTTTAATTTAGACCGTTTTTTTTGTTTTTTTTCTTGATCTCTAATCTCTTGGTCACGTTCCGCTTTTCTTTTCTGACGCTCTTCTGTTTCTTTCCTTTTTTGACGTTCATCTATCTCTTTCTCTCTTTGTGCGGCACGTTCAAGCTTTTTTTGTGCCTGTAACTCACGATCAAAAGAAGCACCCTCCACATAATTATTTGATTTAATGCCTAAGGCTTTCATCATCTTTTCATTTTCGACAGCCTTCGCTTGGCTAAGTTGATGTACTTGATGTTCCTGTATGCTACATTTTTTAAATAAAATTAGTAAATTCAAAAAAAAAAAAAGAAAAAATAATAATAAGAAAGAATTTCTAGTAGATTAAATTTATTACTTTTTATCATCTTTAACAGCATCGACTGCTGAGAGCAATGCATTACGAAAAGCATTTACTCGATCTTCAATTTCTTCTTCAGTTTGTCTATATTAGAACAATAAACATATCGGTCATTAATTAATCAGTACAAATCTTTTAAAATAGATTTTAGATTTCAACATACCCAGCCGCTTCAAGTTGCTGTCGTAAGTCAATACACTTAATCTCAACTTGTCTCTTCTTCTCATGCTTTAAAATATCTTTATTCGGTTTACGGTTCAATAATGAAGAGGATTTGGATTTGATTTCATCCAATGACTCATATTGAACATTGTCTCTACGTGTCTTAATATATGAAAGATTACGAACGACATAACCGTTCGTTCCAGATCCACGAGGTGTAGAAAGACCTACGTTACCGTACATTATTTGTTGTTTTTAGAGAAAGTTCTAAACACTAACTGTATTATTTTTTTTTCTTAATAACGATAAGAGAATGCACAATTAAACATTATATAGTTTTATTTGCTCAGTTTTATTTGCAAAAAAATGGTTGTCGATCTTTAAATTTTCATTGGCTGCTTAGAGTCTATGACAAATCACACGATTTGCAAAATCGGCTGATCGGCAGTATACTGGTATATCAATGTAAACAGGTATAAGTAGGGTTGGGGGCACGGGAAAATTTTCGGGCATGGGCATGCCTCTGGTTTTTTTGATTTAGAGGCATGCCCAATAGGCATGCCCCAAAATTTTTTACGTGACAACTTTTTACATATATAAATTTTTTGAAAAAGGGCATGCCTAGGGGCATGCCCAGGAGGCATGCCCGAAAGGCATGCCTCGTGCCCCGTGCCCCCAACCCTAGTGCAAAAAATAGGATACCCATC